TGTTGAGTTGTCTGTAGATTTTTGCTTGATCTTGTCTGATTTCTAAGACTGGACTTGATGCTCTTCTTTTTCTGGAGGTGTTGAAGGTTACACTCATAACTTCTTCATGATTGATCTGTCATCCCTTTCATCTTGTGGTTCGCGATCTGCTTTATATGTATGGTAGTAGTAGCTGTCATCTTCAAGATGTTCTATACGCTTATCCATGCTGATAAGTTCATATTTGATATTCTTAATCTCTTGTCCTATTTCTTTGATAGCAAATAGAATGTTTTGCAGTAAGATGTTCTGAACATTGTCGGTGAGGTGTTTGGTAGGGTCTGTTGTCTTTATGTTGGTAGAATTTTTAGCAATGTTCCTTTGCTTTACAATTTCAGCGAAGGAAGGTTTGATGCGATCTCTTTGTAAAATTTGTCTCTGTGAGTTGGTGGAGTATCCACTGGGTTTGTATCTGTTATAAAGATGCCCAAATTTTCTGGCATTTTCTTGTTTTTTAACTTGTAAATGTTGTTGTCTGTTTTGGATCAGACAATCTTTGATTATGTGTTCTATACTAGAGTAGAGATTGCATGCTTTAGTGTCTGAATCAATCCAAGTGAGTTCAGTATTACTAAGTTTTGCAAGAAAGGTTTTGGCAGCTTTTAGGAGTTCATCTATTTTGAAACTAAGGATAGCAAATCTTTTTTGTTGATATTGAGAGGTTCTTAGAATATAGCATGTTTGGGTTTTGGTTTGATCTTTATTTCTTTAAGGTCAAAGCCTATAGTACTTGGAGGAAGGTTGGCTAGTTTGATTGTGTATTTGTCTCATTCCGTTTTGATTTGATGGGTATTAAGGAAGGGGTAGATGCGAATAAGATCTCCTTTGAAAGGTATTGCCCATCTGGCTTGGATTTTCTTGTAATCTTTTTGATTTTTGTATTTTACTGTGGCTGTTTGCCATATGCCGATTGTTTGCATTTTGAGAGATTGAATTTCTCCAAATTTAGTAAAGGCTGTGTGCACCTCATTGTGTATAACATTAAGTGAAATGTCCCATACTCAGATGCTTTTGTTTTTGGTTGCAATACTATCATATATAGGTGTTGCTGACATGTGGATAATAGTGTTGTTATCGATGGTAAGATTTTCAGCTTTATTTGCATCTTTTTCATCCCTAAATAAAGCAGTGATCAGTTTTGCATTTTGTGAATTATTGATCTTGATATATAAAAAGGATTGGAATTTGGTTAGGTGTTTTGCTAAATTTCGAATTTTACTTTGGTTGTCTCTGCCAGGAATCTCTTCGATGGGAATTATTCATTTAATCTTTTCCTTTCATATTCAACTTGCCAGTCGGTTGGAAGTAATCTTGCAGTGGGCTCTCTGTCCTCTGCTTTGTTTTTTCCTTTGTCATGGTATTGAGTTTGGTGCTCTGTTTCTTCATAACAATTGATTTCAGAGTTTGTTTCAGAGTGAAAACCTCTAGGAGTAGAGGAAGTGCTGTTTTGATCATTTGTGTTATCGTATTCAATATTGAATGTTCTGTTTGAGGTTGAACCAGTGTCTGTTTGTTTTGCTGGGGTATATGTAGTGTTATTGGTAGTAACTGGGAAGATAGCTTCGACTCCTTCTTCCTCTGTTTCTTGGATTTCCATTGCAAAGTTTTGCTGGTTTTGAGAAAGACTTCTTGTATTACTTGAAACTATGTTTGTGTTATGTTGTTGTTGTTGGGTCATTCTATGTTGTGCTCGAGTTTTGGGTGACATGGTGACTGAAAAACTCTTTACGAAGCCAGAGAAAAATGAAGAAGAAAATTATCTAAAAAGGAAATTTTCTGAAAAAAAAGAATCTATGAGAAAGAGTTTTTTTTTTTCACTATAACATATATGTATAAAAACTCATTTTAATAATATAATAGTTTTGATTAATAAAAATTACAAATTAAGCCTGTGGGCCAGCAAAAAGCACTTAAAAAAACAAAGGAAAAACAGAAATATTAAGATAATTCACATCTCCAGATACAGAGGCTCATACTTTTAATAGAAAAAATCTATAGAACATACAAAAGATACTTGAACAATAATACTCCAGAAATTGAAAAGAAAGAAAAGTTAGCAAAAATAATAGAAGTTATAAACAAAAATGGAAAGAGAATCGATAACCCACCAATCAATAGACATAACACCTCCAATTATCACATTCAACAATACAGTGACTGAAGGAAATACAGGAGCTCTGGAAGACAGAAAATAAGATAGCTCAACAAGCAATAAAAAGGGAGAAAAAAAAGACAATCAATGATAGAATAGAAAAGTGTTTCAAACTTTTACAAGATTAACAAAGAAGAATGAAAGATAGTATACTAGACAGGTCCTATAGGAAGATAGACACAAGCAGACTAATCAAACACACTAGAACAAATGAGACCACAATTGTCACAAACTCAAACAAAATCAAGACTAAAGTTAGAACCATTTTAAGGAATGGACATGACACAGGAAGTCAGTAGACTTGCAAAACTATCCAAACTGGCTCAGCAGATATACACCAATTGAACATATCAACCCAGAATAATATAACTAGTGCACAACCAGGATCAACACTTAAGAAATCAAAGAAGCAATTTAGGCAAAAAACAAGCACAATGCACTGGGATCTACAAAAATACCATATATTGTATTAAGGAACCTAGGACTCAAGGGTCTCTAGCTATTAGAAACAATTTACAATCAGATCATAGAAACAGAGAAAATCTCAAAAGAGTGGAAATAAGGAGAAATTTATCCAATCTTCAAACCTAAAGATTTAATGTGAGACATTAACATCACATGACCAATTACCCTCCTAAAGACAACAAGAAAAGTTTTCATATCTATACTTAACAACAGAATAGCAGCAACACTAAATCAACACTATATAATATCAAAAAGCAACTGGGCAGGACTTCTAGGTAGCAATACACAACAGCCAATATACATAATGATGAATCTTCTGGAAAAAGCTAAAGAAGTAGGCAAAGAGGCATGAATCTTTAGCCAGGATATAAGCAAAGCATATAACTCAATAAATAAAAACATGATGATACTGGTACTAAAGTGAATCAAACTTTCAGGAAAAATTATCAACATCCTAGATGACACCCTAACAGATAGAACAACAGAGTCATTATAGCATATGAATACATCAAAGAATACAAAGTTCAAGATGGAATCGACCAAGGAGATACTATATCTCCACTCTTGTGGAGGATCTTCTATGACCCCTTGATACAAGAAATAGAGAACAAAAAGATGGAATACGAAATGAAAATGATATGGAGCTCCAATCTTGCAATGGATAACAACAACAGAATATCTCAATACACTAGATTACAAATGATTATAGCAAAAGCATATATGGATAACATCACCTAATATGTTTCAAACAGATCTAACATGCAAAATATTCTGAATACAGCATCAGAATTCCTCTATATCAATGACATACAGGCTAATGGAGACAAGTCATTACTTATTTGTATCAATGTGAGCAAAGATGACCAGGTACAAGTAGTCATATTGGCAGGAATTAAGGTCATACCTCTGGAAAAAAATGAAACAGCTCATATCCTAGGAGTCTGGATCTCAGAAGACAGAAAAAAACAACATCAAAAACAATTAATCTAGGAAAAAATTGACAACACTATCAACCTCATTAAATAGAAAAGAATCATAGATAAACAGATACGATATATAATTAACCATGTACTATACTCAGCAGTCAAATACCTCCTCAATGATATGGTCCTATCTGAATAGGAATACAATCGACTTAATAACAAGATAGTTAAAACTTTTAAACATAAAATCAACTTGCCCAGAATAGCCCCTAATAACATTATTCATGCAGACTACAGATACAAACTCTTCAACATGTGGAACAGACAGGTTATACTGCATAGAAACAACTGGAAAAAAAGGATCAATAGATCAGACACATGTAGTAAAATAACATAGATCAGATTGCAACAACTTCAGAATCAATACTGGTTGAACACATTAATCCTAGAGGACAAATATCCATTCTGGATCAAAAAATGACAGAATCTTACAAATGACATTCTTAACATGCTCAAAGTACAGAGTATCACATTTGAGATGACAAAGCACACAAAAATTTGTACTGCACCCAGTGGAGGAAAAACAGCTATCAAAGACATTACATCAAGCAAATGATATGATCGAAATAGACAAGCTCTGAGGAAAAAAGAAATCCTATTCAAGGAGCAGCTCATAAATAATGACTTATCAAGACCCCTCATATGGCAACAACTTAGGACCAGGAAAGGTAGACAAGGCAGGACTCCTGGATGGTTTCAAGACCTACGACAAATTATATATATAGACCCAAACCAGAACTTTTATACAAATATAATAGAATCTCCTACTAGTGACATCAACAATAGCTTCCACGATAATATCCCAGTTCTCCTATCCTAGTCACAAACAACAATCAAGTGGATAGCCACAGAATCAGATAGTAAAATTGCAATTTACAGGAAAAGTAGAATGACAGACCCAAACAAGATCATAGTAAACCATATAATATCACTATCATCAATATCCCTCCTTTTCAAATACAAAGAATGTGAGAAAAATAATCAACAATTGAGAAGCCAATACAAGGAACAAGGTCAATGTATTGCAGAGCTGATAAGGGCAAGAACAGTAAATATAACAGTAGACAAAAGCTCAAAATCAACTGATTCCTATAAAGACCAGTCAACTGAACAGTAACACATAACAAATAGGCTGTGTTCTATTCTCAAGAGAATCAAGAAAGCACTGTATAAGAGAGAAGCAGAATCAATAACCCAAGAACAATACCACAGCTCTACATAAATCCATTCTTAGAAACGATATATTTAATACACAGTAGATTAACCGGGTATCCAAGACTCATAGATCAGCTCTCAGCCATAGCAAAAGACCTGAGTGAACTTAATAATCTGCAGATTTATATAGATGGCTCCTTTACTAAATACCCAGAGAGAAACAGAATAGGACTAGGCTGGATTATAACCATCAAAGAGAAAAAACAATTAGCAGAATTTCTAGCAAAGACACATAATACACTCTCATTCACAAGAGCAGAACTAATGACCATTATGACTGCAATAAGCAATATCAGTACAAACAAAACAATTACTATCTTCACAGATAGTCAGGTAGCAATCAACATATTAAAAAAGCCTCCATCACAGAGGAGATATTGAATAAACACACATCAGCCAAACCAAATCCTCAACAGCACCATCAAGGACCTAATAGAAATCAAAAGACTTGCAATTGGTTGGACAAAAGTAAAGAGTCACTCTGGCATCCTAGACAATGAAAAGATGGACTAGCTGGCCTTAACAAACTTAACAGACAAACCTAAACACACCATAATAATAAATACACAAATCTTTATATCAACAAATATACTCATCAGATGGAACCAAAAACAATATGATATCGAAATCAAGCCTCTAATGAGACAAATATTCAAAAATAAATAGGCAAATAAATGGTGAACACTATAAAGAAACCAGGATTGATTGAACCAAAAAAAATCTAGAGAAATTCACTGGTTTCTGACTCTAGAGCTCTTAATATTAATAGCCATCATAACAACATCAACCAATATGAGAGATCATATAGACTGATCATTCAGAATTAAAACATGAATAAATAAATTACCTACTATAAATAAACTAAGTGAAAAACACTGATATTTATCCCAATAACAAATGCAAAATCTGCAAACAGCATAAAGAAACCAATAACCATATCTTTCAATGTGGTACAATACAAACAAGACTTCAGGAAGAGTTCATAAAGGTCTTGACAGAGGAAAGCACAGCAAGAGCTAAAGGCAAACAAACAGAATCAATTCAAAACAAATGAAAGAAATCACAAATATTACAAGAATATAAGGAAAATATAAAAACAAGGCACAAAATCAAATGAAAGGATATAGTCAGGAGAGTTATAATATATAGTATAATACAAGTAGCAGAGACCATAAAAAAAGATAGATCTAGAGCACTGGAAGCAATCCAAGGAGCAATACACAAGTTCTGGCAAGCCAAACAATAAGCTTGGAAACATAGATATGACATTACAATAGAATGGAAAAAAAGTTAAAACATAAATAAAAAACTTAACATCAGAAGAAGCGAGCCAACAGTAAGATGGACAATCAATGAACCACACCACAAAGCCCAGACTTATCAACAACACAGGCTATAAAAAGCTTCAAGACTGATTCAAAGCCAGAACAGGCCCAAATCGATCTTAAGAAACACCTAAATGACAGGTTTGGGGAACTATACATGGAACTAATAAATATCATAACAGAAAAAACTTTAAAAAACAGCTATTTTCCTTTTTTCTTCTTTTTTATAAATATTAGTGCTAATAGAGTCTTGACACACTAGCACCCACTAAGGTGGACTGCAGCAAGTCATAGAGTTTCTAGTAATAGAATACTGAGCCATAGTGTTTTTCTCCTTTCATAAATGTATAGACTCACAATTAAATTTGCATAAATAAGCCTGTATTAATGAACAAATAAAAACTCAATAGCAGGACTTCACCAATTAAAAAAAAAAAAAAAAAAGAATTGTTAAATGAGTAGTGTATTTACTGTAAGTTAAATGAAGAATTAGATGATATTTTGGACTTAGATCGATATTGGAATGAAAAATCTAAAGACTTACTATATCTTTCACAAATTGCTTTATTTTATATATAGTTACCTATTTTGGGTGTAGATGTTGAATGTAGTTTTAGTAATTACAAAAATATTTTAAGCGATAGATAACATACACTTTCAAAAAATTCTCTTTCGATGTTAAATTTACTTTATTTTAATAAAACTACTTAGTTTATTCGATAGTACATTAGCATATACAATAATAAATCCGAATTTATATCAATATATACTGCATATAATTCCTTGCTTTTAATCGCATTAAGATTGCATAATTCAATATTATCATATCACATAAAATGCTTTTTAAATCACATAAGTCTGGATACTCTAAGCCTACTTCATCTATGGAATATGCTGAATTATATATTTGGTTTTCTATATTAGGGAATTGGGATACTGGTAATTTAGCCACTTTGTGATTCCTACGAAATTAATGGTTTCGATATTGGTATAATCAGATTCATGATCATTACAATCTTTT